GAGTCAACAAACGAGATGACATGGCCTTTCACCTGTGACCCATCTCAAAATGGTTAAACAGCTTACACACTGTCAATAATATTCAGACTCCAAGTTATGTATGATCTTGAAGAATACTACCATTTGTTACGCTGCACAATAGACTGGATGAGGTAACTTACACACATTTCCCAACTTTATCTCTACTTTAAATACTTACTTTGGTATTTTGCTCTTCAAAACCAAGGTGTAGGTTAAGCTTCGTTCACATGACAGTGTGGGATCTCGTTGGTTGTCATTCACTAGCGCCTTCACTACCCACTGATGACCAAAAGCTGTAAAACGAGATGTCTCATAGTAGAGCTTGTGGATAAATTCATCAGTGCGGTATGGCTTGAACTGGAGGTCTGCAATAATAAATTTTATATAATGTCTTTTATTCTTCAGAAAGTAACCTTCAAAGTAAATGAATTATTAAAAATGTTTTGGTATTTATTTGTACTTTCTTTTCTTGAAATCCTCAATTTTTGCATGATTTAGGAAAAATACTGTTTGTTACAACATGTAAAGCTGGACAATATAATTATTATAATAATACAGTTAACATAAAAACACTATTTCTGTTCCAATTTGTTTAGTAAGTAAATATCACATAAACATTACAATACATGCAACAATATTACACATTGTGCTGTGCATATCTGCTCTGAAGTCATATTCCAGTCATTTTCTAGGATTTTAACAGTACCGTATTTGATACTAGTGTGACATAAGTAAGAGTGTTTTGAACAATGAGCAACAGGTTTCAGCATTATGAAGTTGACTGAAAACTTTGTCTCCACACACTTTTATCTTTAGTTCTTCATATAGTAAAATTTCCAAAGGGAACATTATGCTACACAAGGCAAGTAGGCTTAATTAACTGGTATTACTGTTAGCAATTTTTAAATGGGTTTTATCTGTTAAAATCTGTTTATAATGTCCAAATTGAAAAAAAAAAATGTATTTAGTCCAGCAAAATGTTCAAATATAGTTTAAGCAGAATAATTATAACTATCACAACAGTGCTGATCATAGACCTATTTCAAACTTTCATATAGGTGTCTTGTTCTTCTGGCTTATTCACAATAAAGTCTATAATGTGAACTAAGAGAACTTAACCAGTTCAATCACAGGGACAAATATGAAAACAGTGTCAAAACTTTGTCAAGTGTTGAAAAAATGGAGACAAAATTCACCTGTTGTAATTTTTTTTTTTTTGCTTGGGACAGTAAAATGAACATTTTTATTAATAAAATGGAATTAAACTAATAGCTTCCTCAAATTAGGCATATAATTAATCTATCAATTGATCATTAACCACAATTTCCTACTTTTTTTTCTGTGCAATTTCATGACATCACTTATTAAAATAAGCTTTCTCAAAGTTTATGATAAACCTCACCATAAATCAGTAAAAACTTCTATCTATATCTACATATGTAGTAGAGATTCCTCTAGCATGTTCTAATAATACCCATATGAAGGGAAGAAGAGAGGGGATAAGTCTGTCTAAAGATAAGCAGAGATGCAAAGAAGTAAACATGAATGAGCCTACTTTTCCAGAGAAGTAGGAGTTTTGGTAACATTTAATTACATACAAGCAAAACAAAAAACAATACAAATCAAGCAAAATGAGACATATTATGACAATAAAAATCAGTTAGTCATCACTGTACAAATGAAAAACTGTATAGAGATAATGAATCCAGGTGGCAAACAAACTACCATGGTGAAAACAAAGGATAATGAGTCAAGATCGATAGGAAGGGCCTAGAACTAATACACAATAGAGAAAGTGGGAAAAAAAATTCATAAGTTGACAGTAAAATTAAAATTTGCATCCAAGATGTCCATCTCCAACATTTACAATCTTTTGGTAAAAAAAGAGTATAAAACAGTTCTTAAAAATTGTTCACCTTAACCAAAAAGTAATGAAGAACTGACTGAGATGGGATATTTGTAACAGGTTTTTCAGCCTCACATATGCTTTTGACTGAGACACTGGTTAGAAAATAATTCCTAAATAATCTGCTAAAACTAACTTACTAACAATCCAAAAGAAAGAAGTTGAAGTAACTTACGGTTTGTAGAAAAATGTTTAGAATCCCATACAAAACAGTCTAATCTACCATATAAAATATGTGTGGATATGGTAGAATGTCAATGACTAGAAAACAGTCAATGCTGGAAAAGATTTTAAAGATCATTATTGAACAGAAGGAGCAAAATACAATAGAAGGTATTTACTAATCACTGGGTGGCTGGGAGGAAAAATGACAAGAAATCAATCAACTTGTCAAAAATAGTTTCAGAAATACATTGATGACATGTCACAACCGAGTTCTATCAAACTGATGATAAATGGACAAAAACTAATTAATGAAGAAAAGAAGCCAAGTACAAGTCTTGCAAGAATGAAAATGGGAGTCTCAGTAAATATAGATAGAAGAGAATCCTCTCCTAAAAGACTCTAGAAACATATCACCTACATAAAAACAACCCCAGACAAATAACATTATAATGTCCTTCTGCTTAACAACAAGTGCTACAGAAAGTAACCCAATCAGACATGGTCTAACACAATAAGGATAACAGCAATGCCCAAAGACAACTAAGATCACATATGACTCAGAAAAAAAATATCCTATTCCACATTGAGTCATGGATTCCAAATGTTGCCTTGAAATAATAACTAGATCAGAAGCAGCAGCAGATGGATCCAAACCGTGTACAAACAAAGGTGCATAATATATGTCAGTGCATATATATTTCCTAAGAGAATCTGCTAACTTTTGATTCCCCAAAACAATGATACATTTTAATATATCAAATTCACTCTACAAACAGGAAAACATATCAGTGTTTAAAGCTTTAATACACTGTTTGTAGAAAAGACAAAGTAATAGTAGCTCAATGTTTCTGGAAAATGTAACTGTTTCTAAGATACTAAAATACTTCAAGTCTTAGCCTATTTAATGATCAATTTCACTTAAGTTAACTTTTTTTTTTACACTAAAAATGTATTTCCGATATAGGTACTTACCTCCTCTCATCCAAAGCTATCTTGATTCTGGCCTACCCTTTAAGCATTGTTAAATTATTCGCTACAAGTGCACCAGTCTTTTATACTTCATCAGTTTTGTGCCATTTCAGTATAAATGCTGATTATGTGACTACCCTCCACCAATCATAATGCACCCTCTATAATAACATAGCTAGCTCCCTCTACTATTCTAGAGCAATTCTCACTTTTGAGAATTGGCAGGTACAAACGAGGAACGGTGGAAAGTGGTGAGAGGAGGTAAGTACCTGTCAGAAATACAAAGCTAGAATCCCACATTGCAAAGGTGGAAGGGCTGGTGAAGGTGCATCAATATGTAATCAAGCAGAAAGTTACTGCACTTAAGAACAAGTGTTCAAGAATATGAAAATAAAGCACACCTGTGTGGTATAGCACTAGTTCTGGAACAGGTATGCTCTTTGCCCATTAATTAACACAGAAACAAAAAAGAGGGCAGAACTGAACTGGCAGGCAGCAATGCATTCAGGAAAGAGACATACAACACTGAATCAGTGGAAAAGCGCTGTATAACCGTGACTTGACTTGAAATAGCATGGCACTGACAAACGTGGAAAGTCTGGTGTGGAAGCGACAATGGGCCTGTAGGAGTATGTGCAAAGGGTAGTGCCTTGGTTTACATCAGAGTATGTTAAGTGCAGTCCATCTGGGCAAAACATCCAGTGGAAACACCCTGTATTAGATACTGAGATCAACAAGTGCAGTCCTCCTGGGCAAACAAAAATCCAGGGGAAGTACCTTGGATACATAGGATTAAGAAGAAAAAAATTACAGGTAAGAATGAGTGTGATTGTGAGAGTTTTCATAACCAGCCTGTTGTGAACATACACGTCATACATCATCCACACATGTAGCAGGCCACAGTACTGAACATAGTGATAGTGAGCCATAGTATAATGCCACAGAAAAATGAAATACCTGTATGTGGCTAAATCTGAAGGACTGTGAAATGTATATGAATAGGCGAAGTGTGGTCCGCCTGGGCAAAAACTATACAGGGGAGGTGCCTTTGGATACATCGAATTATGCCAAGTGTGGTCCATCTGGGCGAAAACATCAAGTGGAACTCCTTGCAGAAGCTTGTGAGATAAACAAGTGTGGTCTGCCTGGACAAAAACATCCAGGGGAAGTGCCTTGGATACATAATATTCAATAATATAATAAGTGAAATGTATATGAATAGGCCAAGTATGATCAGCCTGAGCAATAACATCCAGGAGAAGCACCTTGGGCTATGTCAGGTTATGCCAAGTGCAGTCCATCAGGGCAAAATACATCCAGTGTAAGCACCTTACATAAGATATGAAGATTTTGTTCCTCCTTGCTTGGTGATATAGCTTACAAGAGTGGAATTGTTGGAATGAACCAGAGCCCAAAAAACTGCCAAAAGTTCTAGGATGTTGATATGGAGAGTAGCCTCCTTGACTAACCACTGATCAGAAATCTTTTGAGAATCAAGGAAAGCCCCCCCCCCTCCAACATACCAAGGAAGCATCTGTTTGCAAATGACACTTGGGACAAGGTGGAGGAATGGGAATCCCCACCATGGTCAAGTCCCTGTTGAACGACCAAGAAAAGTTGGCCCTGATCCAGGGTTGGTTCAAGGGATCATGGGAGAAGTTCCACTGGTCAAAAAGCATCCATTGAAGGGAATGCATGTGTGCTCGACCCAAAGGAATGAGAGCTTTCAATGAAGCCAACATTCCCAAAACAGATAGAACCTCTTGCACAGAGAGAGAAGAAGGTAGAGCCTTTGTGACTGTCCATTCCATAACCCAGAGCAAAAGTGGAGAAGGCTGGGCCCAACTGAGATGGGAATTAAAGAGAACCTCCAAATGAATAAGATAATGCATGGAATAATAAGAGACTTCTCCAACTTGATGAGAAGACCCTACTCATTGAAGTAAATAGGCATGATTGACCTACAGGGCATGGGAAGAGGCGAGCAGGAGCCAGTTGTCCATGAAAAGGAGAGTCCAACGATCCAACAAGTGAAGATGACAGGCAAAAGAGCAAACTGTACAACAAAACACACGGTGCCATAGAAAGACCAAATGGCAGTTCCTGGAACTAGAAAACATAACCCTTGTGGATGAACCAAAGAAAATGACATGACACTGGAGCAGTTGGAATATGAAGATAGGCATCTGTCATGATTATTTGGTCACCCACAGTCCCAGTGAAAAAAAAAACCTGAAGTGAGAGGCAGGACTCCATGGAGAAGTGAAGTGTCTCCAGATAGGAGTTCAACCGGGACAGGTCTGTGACGGGTCTCCAATTTCCTGT